AATGTTTGTGTTTTCTCTCAACAATACCATTTTGTTAAGGGGTTCCAACACAAGTGGTTTGATGAATAATGCCTTTGGAAGAGAAATAAGCAATAGCAGCAAGACTGCTGCCTAGCTCAAAGGCATTGTCAGACCTAACTTTCTTGACTTTGACTTCAAATTGCCTTTCTACCATAGATATGAAAGATTTAAGAATAGTGAAGGCATTGCTTTTAGTACTAAGTAGGTATGTCCAAGTACCCCTACTAAAATCATCAACAATAGTAAGGAAATACTTAAAACCATTGTAGGTAGGTTCTTTGTAGGGTCCCCAGGTATCAATGTGAATAAGTTCAAAAATATGAGAAGTAGAGCTAGTGCTGTCTGAAAAAGGTAATCTGTGTTGTCTAGCCATAGGACAAATGGAACATGGAATATCTTCTTTACAAACAGTAGATTGTGGTAAGGTAGAAATATATCTCATGGTAGAAATAGGTAAATGTCCTAGCCGTACATGCCACAGATTTTTATCAGTAGTAACAGTATTAGACAAAATATGAGAATTGCAATATGGTGGAGAAGAATTCTATGGAAGTGTGACAACTTTATTTGAATGCAGGAAATCAACAGGCTTGTGAGTTGAGTGGAAAAGATAAAGTCCAGCCTTCACATCACCAAGGACCAGGGGCCTCCTCAAAGAAAGGCCCTGCATCAAACAACAGGTTTCAGCAAAGGTAAGAAGAACCTTGAATTGAGTGCATAGTCTGTTAACTGAAATGAGGTTGAATTTAAAATCTGGAACATAAAGAACTTTGTGTAAAGTCAAGTCTGGGTGTATTCTTACTTGTCCTGCCAGTGTTACTCTTACCCTTTGTGAATTAGGAAGGTTAACATTGACAGGATTAGGTAAAGGTTGGATATTAACAATGATACTAAAATCAAAAGTCATGTGTTCTGAAGCTCCAGAGTCAAGAATCCAAATATGGTTCCTAAGATTACTTTGTGAGCATGAAAGGTTAGGCAAGCATGTACCAGCACAATTAGCATTGGCAATGGTTTCAGAATTTGATGTAGCTTCCTGGCCAATTTTAACTTGTTGGAGTAGTTCCATTAGTTGTGTCAATTGTTCCTACTTTATACCAATGGTTGCTTCAACATCATGAGATTGAGCTTGACCATAACTGTCATCTGTTGTTACTGCATTTCCTTGAATAGAATTCTGAAATCTTCTTTGTTTGAAACTCTGTGAATAACCTGGCTTAAAATTCTGTGGATAACCATGAAGTTTATAACATTTGT